TATATATATGCAGACCATACCCTCAAGGAAACTCCTTTTACTTAAGCAAAGCAGTGAAAGGATATGACTTGAATATGGGTGGTGACTAGACTGAGGGTGCTGATTTGAGCCATATCCTCTACTAAGACAGTAATTCAAGATACACCTCACTCTAATTCTGTCTCATTAAAATAATGGACAACTCACTGCCAAATAAGGAGCTCTGGTGGCATAGTGCCTAAGGCATTTGACTGCTAACCAGAAGGCTGGTGGTTCAAACCCACCAGCCACTCATTAGAGGAAAGACTGGGCAATCTACTTCCGTAGAGATACCACCTCAGAAACCCAAGGAGGGGTCGCTATTGAGTCGGAAATGACTCGATGGCAGTGAGTTTGTTTTGGTTTGACTGCCAGATGAGACCACAATCTCAAGCATAGAAGCTGGTATTTACAACACATCACAAAATGGAGAATAATTTCATCAGATCATGAAATACAGGAAAATTAAATAACTGCCAAACCAATGAAAATCAAGGCCCAGCCAAGTTAACACATAACCATAACCATCACAGGTTCTATATACCTTATTTGCATTAGCAGCAAGCTGTCTAATCTCCTTAGTAGGACATAAGGACCTTATTAACTGCTAACCAGAAGGCTGGTGGTTCAAACACACCAGGCACTCCTCAGGAGGAAGACTGGGCAATCTCCTTCTGTAGAGATACTGCCTCGGAAACCTGAGGGATCACTATGAGGAGGAGTGACTTTGGTTTTTTGGTTTTGGAATCATTGTTTGGCAGTCACAAAGACAATGGCTACAAGGGCCATATTAAGTAGTTCTCCATACCACAGTAAGTCACCTGAAGTCCATCTGATAGTATACATATCTCAATGAAATTTCAAAACGAATAATTTGTTTTATTAGTAAATTTATTATGAGTAAGGCTTTGGTAATCAGTATTCCTATTTAATGAGTATTTACACTTTTTGTCACTCTCCATCTTCTGTAGAAATGTTCTTACAGTAATAGTGGGAGTGAGTATGTGACTGGAACCCTCATTATACTCACCCTACCCTGGCTAGGCACATGACCTAAATTAGGCCAATCCTCTAGAATTTCAACGCTTAAGCTGGGAGATATGCACTCTCATTCATCTGGACAGGCTCTATAAGAGTATGGGCAGCCCCAGAGCAGCTGATTACCAAATGCCACACCTATGGAGAAGTCCAAGCAAAAGCTAAAACTTCAAAGAAAGGTAGAGATGAGCACTGACCAAAGGCAGAAGCAGTTCTGATACACTATAATACCTGGGTCTTCTCGTCAAGGCCCTGAGAACAGCTGTATCCCTACCTTTCTGATTTCAGTTACTTTTTCCTTTTCCTGCTTCTCAAAGGCAAACTTCGAAAGTTCAGGCCTCAGGTCTATTCCACATGCAGAGCCACATGTGTCCCACAAGTGACACTAAACCTATCCCTCAAAGATATTCCGAGTTATAATCCAATGTTATGAAATAAGAAATGAATTGGTTTTCAATAAATA